ATATGTAAAACGATAACCATTGATAATTTCCTACCATTTTGTCTGTAATTTGCTAAGTCCCCCCTATTATTATGCTATCCTTCTTTTATTCTTTAAAATAAAAAAAAAAAAAAAATGCTGCTACAAATATTTATAAAAAAGTTCTGTGAATGTATGTTCTGAATTCTCTTGGGTATATATTTGAGAGGACATAATGGATTACACAGTACGTAATGAAGTGCATCTTTTAATACAGCTGATAAATGTTTAATATAAAGTAACACACTCTAAAGTAAGAGTTATAGGTATGCATTTTTTTTTTTTTTTTTTTTGAGACAGGGTCTCTCTATAGTTCAGGCTGGGCTTGAACTCACTGTGTAGCACAGGCTGGCCTTGAATTCACAATGATACTCCTGCCTCTGTCTCCCAAGTGCTGGGATTATAGGCAGGCACCACTACACCCGGCCACATGTACACAATATTTGTAAAAGCACTTCTATGCCAAGTATGTTTAAATTAAACAAAACCACTTATAACTAGAGGAAGACAAAGTTCAATGTTGGAAACAAAATTTCTGAAACGAAAATATTTTCTGTTTTTTATTTTAAAAACATTCAGAATTTACTAAATTTGAAGGGTCAATATATTTATTTAAATAAAAACTACTAAGTTTACTTCTTTATTTGAGTGTAAGAAACTGACATTTCTGACGCAGATAAGTAAACAACAGCCAAACAACAATAAATAGTAACATGAAAAAGTCACTTACTACAGTTTCCTTGGCAGGAGGAGGCTTGATCTGTTGACTGGGAATCAGAACAAATGTCAGAGTACCATGCATGTCAGACTGCAATAAAAAGATGAGGCTGCTTTAAAAATCTGTACTATGAAATTCATTCCATGACCTTATGAATAATGTTCTCCAAAATGAACTATTCCAAGACTCCTCCATAATCACTGTTTTTCCTGTGTACGATGGAGGATTAAACCAAGGGCGTTACACACATGCTATGCAATTACTCTATCACTGAGCTACATCCCTATCCCTTTGTGTTTTGAGACAGGATCTCACCAAATTCGTGAGCCTGGCCTTGAACTTGAAGTCCTGTCTCCACTTCCCAAATGGCTGGGATTACAGGTGTATCTATCCCCATGCTCAGCCCTACAAAGTGTTACACACAAATATTCTCAATTTCTAGATGTCTTATTATGTTATCCATATTATTTTTTAACCACATAGAGTCTCACTACTAGGTTCAGTATTATTGCTCAATACACCATGCATTAATGGCCTGTTTATTCCGATACCTCCAGCCTAGAGAGTATTCATAGTATCTGGCACTGATACAGCAGCGTTCAACTTTAAGACAGCAACCAACAAAGGTTAAAATAACAATGAATGGTATTTTGCTTTACCAAAGCAATAAACTGGGGCTGGACAGAAATAGGGATATGAAGGATGTTTTCTAGATTTTACAATAGTCATTGTAGAGGTTCTACTCTAGCAACTGAGGCTAAGTAATTAAAAATACAGATTTTGGTTTATGAGGTGTACAAAGTGATCATAAATTGCCCTCAAAAGATAACCATAAGCCTAGCGTGCATAAGGAACTGGGTTTGGTACCTGACACACACACAAAAAAGGTAACGTCTTCCTAATTACAGAGCACTGTACAACAGAACTTTCTGCAATACTGGAACCATACCATAGCTGTACCTTCAGATGGTAGCCATTATTGCCCTCTAGCACCTGAAGTACTGCTAGTATGAATAAGAAACTGAACTTTATTATATTACATAGTGTACACCTATAGCACTGTTATCATCTGACATTGTTAGGAAAGAACAATTGTAGATAAGAAAAATACAGAAAAATCATGAGGAGCTGGCATGGTGACACATGCTTGTCACACTCTGGGAGGCCAAGGCAAAAAGATCGAAAGTTCCAGCCCAGTCTGGGTAACTTGCCAACCTAGCGAGATCCTGTCTCAAAAATAAAAATAAAAAAGGGGCTGGGCATACAGCTCAGCGCAAAAGGCCTTGGGTTCAATCCAAAGTATCACCCCATCAAAAAAAAAAAAAAAAAAAAGAGGAGCGGGCGTGGTGGCGCACGCCTATAATCCCAGCACTTGGGAGGCCAAGGCAAGAGGATCGTTGCAAGTTCAAGACCAACCTGGGCTACAAAGTGAGCTCAAGCCCAGCCTGAACTGCATAGTGAGACTCTGTCTCAAAAAGACAAAAAAAAAGAGGATGTGGATTTTTATTATTGCCCCAGTAGTTAGCACACATTCACATGCACTCAATAAATATTTACTGATTAACCTGTTATATTATTACTGATTTCAGAAGCAAAATATACATGGTAGTAAAAAAGGTCAAAGTAAAATATTATCAGTGGTGCCTAGCCAAAAACAAATTCTACTAACAAATACTGGGAAAGACTTGTATCACAGGAAAGTGAGGCAGAAACTGTCCCGGGCTGTTGACTTCTGTGTGTATGGAGTGGGGCAGAGTAATAGAGAGTGAACCCAGGGCCTCTGCACTGAGCTACACGCCCAGCCCTTTCTATTTTTCATTTTCAGTACACTGCACAGTCAGGACTTGAATTTGTGATCCTTCTGCCGCAAACCCACAGTGTGCTGCAATTATAGGCAGTCTTAAAATAATTTACTCTAAATCTAAAATAATTTACTCTAAATCTAATAATTTACTCTAAATCTTAGAGTAATAATTTACTCTAAATAATTTACTCTAAATAAATCTAACAGAAGAAACAGAAGAATTACTTAGGTCAACTTACCAACAAATCGAAAACCTCATTGACATCTTTCCCCCGAATTTCAATGCCATTAATCTCCAGAACTTCATCGCCTTCATGTAAGAGACCACTTTTCTCCGCAGCTCCTCCTTTTACTATCCGGCTGATGATGACAGAATCCATTTCATTACGAACTGTGGCACCCTAAGAAGGTTAATGTCTAGTTTAATTATAAAAATAGGTTTTTGGCTAAACACTTCTTTGTTTTTAAATTATAATTTTCCTCTAACATTTTTTTCTGTGCCATTATATGTGCCAGTTCAGAGGTTAGCAACTGACCTCTTTTGCTATATTTTAAAAGTAGTGGTACTAATAAGAACTTTGTAAATAAACAACTTTAAACCTAATTGAAAAAAATAATTTTTCTCTAACAATACTAGCCTTCAACTATCTTGGGAAAAAAGTTTGCTTACATAGCTGGTGTAATGATTGTCATTAAATTTGAAAGTTGATCATTTCCCTCATATCTTGTGCTTTATGAACACTCCAGAACTCTGACAGCAAGTGGATTTTTGAAGCATACAATAGCAGAAAAATATACTTGCTTAAAAACTGTGTGAAAACCTATAATCATATTTATTCTGCATATATGCTAAACCCCATACAAATGATTACAATACATTTGGGCTTAAGTAATGAGCATAATTCTAACTATAAAGAACCTTTTTAAATTCAAAATTTGATGAAGGGATGAATATCAATCTGGCTCCCTATTTATATGTTAAATAGTTTAGCTACATTCAACTCACATTAACATGTATTAGAAATTAATATTTGTTATACAAAATTAGAAGCTAAGTAAAAAAATGTATGTTCAAAAATTGGGAATATAACATATAGATTAAGCTTGTTCTCCTAAACTTTTACTTTAACATTTTATCTTGATTTTTCAGTTTCTATTCTCTTGGTGGGGAAAACGTTTCAAATTATAATCTGAGACACCAGGATTCAAGAATATTTCTTTCAATAAAAGAAAGAAACTTAAGGCAATGATAGTAGACTAAGATTTGAGAAGTTTTATATATAAAAGCTATAAAGCAAATATTAAGGTGTACACTTAAGAATATCTGAAATATGTAAGTAATTGTATCTCAGTAAATTTAACAGTATCAAAAGATGAGATTTTCCTTCTTTTTTGGGGGAATGTATTTTTGAGACAGGGTCTTGCTATGTAGTTCAGGCTGGTCTCGAACTGACGCTGTAGCCTAAGCTGGCCTCAAACTCCCAGCAATCTTCCTGCCTCAGCCTCTGGAGAGCTGGGATTACAGTTATGAGCAACCACACTCAGTTTTTTAAAAATCAGAATTTCTAATTATTGTTTTTAAAAAGTTGGGAGAATGAAATAAACTACTTATCCCTTCTTTGTTCTTCAACAAACATTTCACAAGCTATTACTTTCATTCAGTTATGGGTGAGAAAAGAAGATGAACACATTTTTGTTAACTGAGTAAGGGGTCTGAGCAGGAACACAGAGAAACTCCAATGAATTAACTTCAAAAGAGAAACCCACGAAGAATGTACGAGTTGTCAGTTACCTGAGAGGCCTCTGTGGGAAGTGGAGACTTACCAATGGAATATCACGAGCCTTTTCTATACGAACTATTTTTACAGTCTCTCCTCCATACTGGCCAATGCTTTCATAAACTCTCTCATCTGCAATGGGCTCTAGCTGCATTTCCTGCTCAGCAACTTTATCATGGGCCAGTAAAAGTGCCTGTTTCAAAAAAAATTGACAGCATTTTAACAGCACGACTTTTAAACTCATCATGTATATATGATTCTGTTCATTAAATCTTTAGAACTGCTATAATTACTTGTATATCCATATCTGTTTCTCAATTCTGCAAGTCAAGCTCAGAAGCAACCCAGTATACTTCTGAGCTATTGATAACAAAAGATGTACTGAGCGTGTCAGGGCATAAACTGAAATGGATTGTGAAAAGCCCAAGATGCATATTAAAACAAAATAAATTGAAATGCTTAAACATGCTAGATAATTAAAATTTCTGGAAAATACAGAACCGAAAAAAAAAGCAAGTAACTTTTGTCCAATTTTAAAAGACAAAAAGTTTCAAAAATTATTTGGTTAATTCAAATATTTATACTCTAACAATAATTACTTTGCAGAGTAGGTTGTAAATATAAAGCCTGGCTAGGTAATGTTTGAGGTCTTTTCCAACCTTAGGAGATGGTGATTTAAAAAAAAAAAAAAAAAGGATAAATCTTGTTGGAAATGCCTTTTATGATGCTCTGTCCATTTTCTACCTGAATATGTGGAGCATTCAGCAAAGCAGTTAATTCCTGTCCTTCTTTCTGGTGGGTTGGTTTCAAAACAGTTTGTACCTAAGAAACAGAAGCAAAGATCATTCTTCCTACTTCACAGGAAATAGCAGTAGCACCTATGCAGGGTGATTCTTCCTTTAAATCTTTTTTTTTTTTTTTGAGACAGGGCCTTGGTATGCAATCTAGCGTGGCCTTGAACTCACTATGTTGCCCACGCTGCCCTCAAACTCACACTGATCCTCCTGCTTCAGCCTCCCAAGTGCTGGTATTATGGGCATGCACCTCTAATTTTTTTTAAAAAATCACACTAAGCAATTTTTTTAAAAGTACAAATCAAAACAATGAAACATACTTGTAAGAAACTGATGAGATAACCTCACTCTGGGTCTGCATTCACATTTCTTTCTTTCTTAATGCTTTTTTTTTAAGATCATCTAAATCATCAAAGGTTTGTCTATTGTTCTTTTAAAAGAATCAGCTTCTTATCTACAAAATCCTTCCATTTAAAAATCTAATTCTTCTAAGTTTATTTTCCTTTACAGTTTCTAATCACTTGCTCTTTAAATTCAGCTTATTTATATTCAATCTTTTCTCTTCTACCATAAATCCTTCATTTATTTATTTATTTAGGCTTTTTTTGTGCCGGGAATCAAACTTAGGACTTTGCCCTTGCCAGGCAGGCTCTGTGCCACTGAGCTATATCCCTGGCCCAAATCCTGTAGTTAAAAGTACTATATAAATTTTCCTCTGCTCCCTCTCTCCAAAGATTACGCTGATGGCTCTTATTATCAATGATTCTCATTTTTTTTTCATTTTTCATCCCCAAGTCCAACTACTCACCAAAAATAGGACTTTGTAATACTGTGGATAACAAAACCAAAATTATCACTATTAATAAGATCAGGTAGGCATAAATCTCTGCCAGGCACAGGGACATACAGCTGTAATCCCAGCACTCTGGGAGGTAGAGACAGAAGGAACCAAAGAAGGAACCAAAGTTCAAGCCCAGCCTGGGCAACTCAGTGAGACCCTATCTCAAAATGAAAGATTAAAAAAAGGGCTGGGGGTGCGGGCATTGTGTGATGGTGCACACCTGTAATCTCAGCATCTGCAAGGTTGTGGCACAAGGACTGCTTTGAGTTCCAGGCCAGCCTGGACTACACAGTGAGTTCAAGGCCAGCCTGAACTTCATAGCAAGACCCTGTCTCAAAAAATCAAAACCAAGACCAAAACCAAACCAAACCAAGTCAAAACCAAAAAAGAAATCTGTAGTCCCTAACCATACATCTTTTGATTGCTGGAAAAAGTAAATCTGAGGGGGAAACAATTTTGCATTAAAAAGGTACTAAGGGTATACAAAAGACACAAGTAAACTTAAAAATATTTTTCTGTACTAAACATTTATTGCCATTTCTATTTTAATTTACTTCCTAAACATCACTGAGAACTTCCCTTTGAATGAAGCTTCAAATTCCAGTACTTCAGTCCCCTTATTAACCCAGGTGTTACCCATTCTACTGTTAACACACAGCATCGGGTAGTTCTAAAGGCTTAATGCTCACTTCTAGCCTTACATTTTTCTCTAGCTATACTGTACTACTTTTTCTTATCTTCCTCCAGAGACAATTAGAGAAATAGTATGTTAAGTGTGAAAGATTCGGAAACAGATGACCAAAGGGAAAGAAATGAAAGGACTTTTATTATACTTAGGGATGATCCACTGGGTATATATCATTCCTTTATTTTTACACTTATTTTTACCAAAGTATTCATTTCATTCTAATTAGAACAAAATCATATGTTCCCTCTTCTTCTCCATTTTTGTATTTCATTACTCCTTCCTGTTTATTTCCATGGTTACAACCTCCAGATAAGTGCTGAATACTAGTGGTAATACTTTGGAGGTTACACTATTTTACTAAGAGACTAAATGGAAATTTGGTAAGATGCCATGGTTCTGGCATTATTTTTTGTCAAGTTAACAAAGTGTCCTTGACTTTCTAAAAATTTTCACCTCAGAGGAAAAAGTACTGAAAGTTTAAAAAAATGCCTTTTCTGAATCAAACTGATTTCTCTTCCCATCTATTCAGGTGAGTTATTTTAAAATATTTACTGGCGGGGCATGGTGACACATGCCTATAATCCCAGCACTTGGGAGGCAGAGGCAGGAGGATCACCACAAGTTCGAGGCCAGCCTGGGCTACGCAAGTGAGTTCAAGACCAGCCTGGACTACATAGCAAGACCCTGTCTCAAAAAAAACAAAATATTTACCAAAGCGTATCAATTGAAAGATAATTTAAAACTTAATATAATTTACTTGGCCTTCAGCATGTGGACTCCATCTTTTAAGATCATACCCTACCTTAACGCACTGCTGAAGAAACACGCCAGGCTTTCTCAGTCACTATCACCTTTGTGCCCTTTGATAACAGAAAGCTTTTCCTTCCAGGTAAATTCCCAACTATCCTTGGAGACTCAGCAGTTAAATGTCCTTCCGTATTTCTTCCTTCTTCCTACCGCTCTCCGCTTCCCAGCCCTCACCCTCCACCCAGAGTTTGGCGCTGCTCACAAGACGCTAAGTATTTACTCAGTCCTGTTCCTTCCCAGTGATAGCCTAATTCAACTTACACAAACTGAAAGGTTTCTGGGTTGTCGGCAGTTTCTATTATTTCAAGGTTATAAACATTTGTTCGTAAGTCTTTGGGTCACTATGTTTTCTTTTCTCTTGTATAGGCTACGAGTGAAGCTATTAGGTCACAGTGTATGGGTGCATTAGCTTTAATAAATATTTTCAAGCATTTTTTCATAGTAGTAGTACCAATTTATACACCACCAGCCTTCTTTCGACTGCTCCATAGGTTCACCAACATTTGCTGTTGCCAGTCTTTTTAATTTTAATTATAGTAATTTTAGTGCCTGTGCAGTGGTATCTGCTTTTGTTTTAATTTATAATTCTCTGTTGGCTAAGAATGCTAAGTATCTTTTTATTTTTCGGGGCTATCTGGCTTTTCTTTTTTTTTTTTTTTTTTTGAGACACGGTCTTCCTATGCAGCCCCAGGCTGGCTTTGAACTTGTAGCGATCCTCCGCCTCAGCCTTCCAAGTGCCCAAGTACAGTGATTACAGGTGTGCGTCACCACACCCAGCTCTGGATTTCCTTTTAAAAAATAGTGTCTGTTCTCTTTTTCATTTTAAAAATCTGAGTACTCTCATTAATTTGCAGGAGTTTTTAAAATACATATTCTAAATATGAGTTTTTGTCATATATATTTAAACATATACATACAGTATCTCCAAATCAGACAATCAAATAACATTTCTTGGTGGGCTGGCTTGCATTTTATTCTCTTAAGAATGTTCTTAGATAAGCAAGAGCTCATTTAATGAAGTCCAAGTTCTCAACCTTTACTCTCTTTATAAAAGCACTTGCAATGCTGGGAGGCTGAGGCCACAGGATCAAGTTGCTCGAGCCCAGCCGGAGCAACTTAACAACTTAGTGAAAACCTTTCTCAAAATAAAAAATAAAAAGGCTAGCAGTGTAACTAGGTGCAAAGGCCCTGGGTTTAATACCTAGTACTGTCAGAAAAATAAATAAAAATCACTTATAGTAACAAAAAATTTGTTTTGTGCTTATTAATATACTAAATTATCAAAGATTTAATCTGGATCTTACTATGTGCAGTTTAACAGGCTTTATATACTATGTAATGCTTAATGTTTAACTAATACTTTGTGATAAAAACAAAAAATACTCTAATGTTTCATTAAATTCCTTGAGGTTTTTACTTAATTTTCATTAAAAATAATACAACTGAAGCATAAGGTAGGTTCTTTTAACTACTGTATGTATATTAAAACTGCTAGAATTATGAATGCTAAAAAACAAAACAGGGCCACATAAGCAACCTAGTTAATCTTATGTCAGTCACAAAACGCCAGCTGGCTTTAATTTTCAGAAATATAAAACAGGAGAACTGAATTAGGTGACTGCTGAGATTTTTTTCTAGTAAAATAAAAGCAACAAGTCCACTTAACTTTTACAACTTTGTTATCAGACTTAATATTCCTCCTCGATGAGCTCATCAAAGCGTGTGCCTGTCTCACAAGCGAACGGAAAGGCAGGGCTACCTCGGTCCTGACCAACAACCCTAGGCCAGGGGAACGACCGCAGGCCCAAGGTCACTATCACTGCCACACACCGACAGCATCCCAGAGCAAGCTTTTCCCAGAGAGAGCAATCACGAACTCCAGCTTTTCTCATTCTCTCCTCCCAACACTGTTCTATTTAACAAAACAAAGGCCCAGAAGCTAGCTAGGGACACCTTCCCCCAACCTGGCGGAGAAGGAAAGATCACAGTGACTAATCTGGTATTTCTTCCAATTCACAATAAAAATCACACTATATTTATAAACGGTATATGAGCAAAATAATGTTGATCTGTAAAAAAAATCTGTTGAAAAAGTAACTTTCAGAAAAATGATTTAAACTATGAGTTAATATTTTTAAATAAAAAATGTTGCATATAAGTGATAACTTTTAAATTAAAAACCTACAGTGATAATTCTTTTGTTTTGTTTTGGTCTTTTTGCTGTGCTACAGATGGAACCCAGGGCAAGCACTTTACCACTGAGCTACACACTCAGTTTGATAACTCTTTTAGTAAAAATATTATATAGTTCATTTCAATAATAAAAGTTGACCTCAGGAATAGATTTCAGTCAGCTCTTTTTAAAGTCTGGTGTATGGAAAAATTCCAGATTTCCCCTCTAGGAGCAGGTCCTTGGGTTGCTCTCTCCTGGGACCTGGTCACCACTAGGTTTCTCTCTTACTACTCCTGCACGTAGAGTTTGCCATCTTAATCACCTTAATAAGGAAAATCTCTCCCTTTGGGACCACTGTGCTAATCTGAAAAGTATATCTTAACCTAATTGATAGATCTACAGCTTTGGAAGTCCTACCCTCCCCCAGCCCTATTCCCTCTCATGTTTGGAGTCAATGAAATACAAGATGTGATTTTAAAAATGAGTGTTTAAATTTTAAAAAATTATTACAGTAAAACTATTGCCATTAATTTCCTTCAAAATATTCCCCCTCCCAGCCAGCTATGGTGCTGCACACCTGTAATTCTGGTACTCAGGAGGCTGAGGCAGGAGGATTGCTGCACATGCGAGGCTGGCCTAGGCCACATAGTGAGTTCAAGGCCAGTTTGAACTAAGTAGTTGGACCTTGTCTCAAAAAGCAAGTAACAAAAACAACCAAAAATACTCCCTTAAAACACATTTATCTCAGCATTCTTGCCACTTTCTGAAGCAGTTCTGAAAGTCCTCTTTCACGCCTTTAATTGTACTGTTACCGCTATCTCAATGCCTTGAATTGATTCATAATGTTTACGTTTCACAGTCATTTTCACTTTGGGGAAGAGCCAGGAGTTGCACAGTGCCATATCTAGTAAGTAAGTTAGACGAGGACACACAGTAATGCTTTTATGAGCCTGCCTTTCCATTAGGTAAACCTGGAGAGCAGCATTCACTGTATTTTTAATCATGCCTTGTAAAGACACTCCTAAATGAGAACTTCCAGGACTGCTTCAGAAAGTACCAAGAAAATGGGGTAAGAGCGAAGAGAAGAGGATTATTTTAAGGGTGATTAATGGCAATTTGTCTTTTACTATAAAAAATTTTTAAACATTTACTATGTATTTTGATTATACCTCAAACATTTACGTGGTAGACCTCCCAAATTACTTTTATAATATCAAAGTAATTTTAAATTTTATCAGTGACAGAATGTCCGTACCCCGCAACAAGAAATGGTTTACATGCTTTTGAAATCTTCAATTTAAAAGGTGAAAGATTTATATGATCTGAAGAGAAACCAAAGTATTGAAATCTTCAATTTAAAAGATGTTTGCAGATTAAGACAGCACGATAACAAAAGAAACTCTCAATGTATATTAAAATTTAGTAATTAGGAAAATTTAGTAATTTAGTTTTAATAGGAGAAATACTTTAAAATATCTACAAGTAATAAATTTTAGCAGTTATAGTCTATAATCCCCAAATACCAGTTATAATTTTACCCAATCAGTATTCGTTTCTTAGTTTAAAATGTATAATGCTTAAAATGAATAAAATCATACTAAAAGCATTTAAAAACTTTGCCTCTAGTTACCAAAATCTGCTTGTTACTATCTAAACTTATAATCCTATATACAAAAGTAACTCTCTTCATGAAACAGAACACTATGTCTCAGCACATTTTTCAGGACATAATGCACACAGCAAAGTTTTCCTATCACAATAAATTATTAACATGTGATCAGCAGTAACTACTTTGAACTAGCCGTATAGCCACACCATTACTTTCTAATCATACTGCCTTACTATCACTAATACTTCTGGTAGGTGTTACCAAGACGTTCACAATACGTACCTCTTGTGCAAGATCCTGGGCGTTGGCGATAAGAGGAAAAGGAGGACTGGCCTTGCTCATGTGCACTGTGACAGCATTGTGGATCTTAAACGCATTCTGGAAATCTTTATTTTGTACAAGTTGTAAAAGCAGTGAAATATCCTCCTGGCTCTGGGAATCTACCAAAGTATGTTGGATATGTTTAAGTGAAGAAAATAAGTCTTCCACTTCTGGTAGGAGAAAGAAAAGGTATCCTAAAATTAATTGTTTTGCTCTTAACTCAACGTGTGTTTTAAGATAAAATTTCCTGAACCAGTAACAATGTACTATGTTTTGGGGGAAAAAAACTACATGTATTTTTGAGTGTCAGTCAATATCAGCTTGCTGAATTTTAAGTAAAACTCTGAAAATAATAGAATAACTTACATTTTAAAAAGATATTATAAGATATACTATAAAAATAATGGGAATACAGAAATAAATAGGTAAAACCACCAACAATCCCATCACCTAGAAACAATTTTTTTCTCCTGAACATCCTGGTGTATTTTCTTTTTCCATAACAGTACACATTGCAATAGCATTATACAAAGTTCAACATCTAAGTTGCTTCTATTTTTGCTACTGTAAGTTAATAACAAATATTTCAGCACATAGTAGTCATTAGTGCATATAAATCTAAGATTCTGATGTTTTAATTCCTAGAAACAGAACTTTACTGAAGATTGTGACATTTTTAAAAGCCTTACACATTTCTAGGGAGTTCACATTAATTTATATCCCATTAGCAATATTTTCACCAATATTCATCACTTTCAAAAACTTTAATTTCTTCGGTTAATAGGGAGGTTGAAGTCTATTTATATTTGCCAGGCACTTCTTTTCTTGTCCATAAAACTAATGAATATGTGTATCTCCTAAAACTGCAGTGGAAGTCTACCGTGTGTGTGTATTGTGCTTATTCTCATACATACACAGTACCTGCTCTTTTTTTTTTTCATCTTTTTGAGACAGTTCAGGTTGGCCTCGAGCTCTCAACGATTCTGCCTCAGCCTTCGAGTGCTGGGATTATAGGCGAGGACCACATGCCTGGCCTACTACATGCATTTTTTTAGGGGGGATAATAGTTACTCAAAAATAGTTTAGAACCACAGTAGTCTCTTTCCTGCCCCCCAACAGAGTTGTGAGTGTAGAAGCAATAAAAAGTTACCAGTTTAAAAAATTTTCTTGACTTTTACAACTAATTATGAATTACATGGTTATCAATAGTATAAAGATAAACAAAACTGGAAAGGAAATTAGAAAGGCAAAATTGTCATTAGGATCACCTCAGAAGCTGTTAAACCAAGAAGTAGGTAAGCTCTGAAGGACAGCCATAATTACTCATACGCTAATATGACAGCTACAGGAGTACACAGAAAAAACATAGAATGCCAGATTCTATCAAATTGGAAGAAGTTACCAGACAATCCCCTAAAAGTATGAAGAATTCAATAGCTTTACAGTTTCACCAGAAAGCCAGGCTTGGTGGTGCATGCCTCTTATCCCAAGAGTGTATAGGAGCCTGAAGCAGGAGGATCACTGCAAGTACAAGGCCAGCCTGAGTTACATAGGAGTTGATGGCTGGCCTGAACCACATGGTGAGACCCTGTCTCAAGAAAGCCAAATTCAAAGAAGTTTCATTAGAGCAAAACAGGAAAGCAGGCTACAACCTTATCTGAGCAGAGACATTCTTATTAAAATTTTCAGTAATTATCAAAAGGAGGTTCAGCTTGGATTTCAGAGAAATTAAAAGTATCAAGAGCTTCAGATCTTATCACTGACTAAAATTAATACGCAACCTTAGTCCAGGAGGTAACTGTCTCCCTAGTAGGTCTCTTCATCTTCAGGGAGGCTGAAATTCTTTAAGGCAAAGGGTTTCTTTTAGCTGTAACGACTAGTATTGTTTAAGATACCATAAAGACTTTAGGGTTTAAAATTGTTATTAAATTTTTATTTTTATTAGTACATGTTTGCAGTAGATAATGATTATATTCCTTGTGGGGAGTTGGTACATGTACATAACACATCTTAATTCTTTCTTTATCCCCCCTTTAAGGATTTTTAAAATGCAATCTAAGCACAGAAGACACTGTATACACGGTTTTATAATCTAATGTTTTCCAATAAATCCTTAAAATAAATTCCCAGGATAAGCTTGACCAAATAAAAACATTTAAGACTTTGATACATACTGACAAACTGCCTTCCAGAACTGTATCAACTAATACTCCTACTAGCAATGCATGTGGGTGCCTATTTTCACAAACAGATCAAAGCATTATCAATTTTTAAATTTTTTTGTGATCTGGTTAAATATATTTTTACAAGATACAGCCATCTGGCATTTCTTTTAATTACAGTTCCTGCAGTCTTAGGGAGAACATACCGAATTTCATTTTTTCTTATGTCAGAACAATGGCTTTTAACCATAGCCATTTATGGAACTTCCCTAAGGAAATTTAAAAGACATGTCTATCTAAAAGTTACATCAACCTCAGACACAACCAGAGCCTTCAGTGTCTTCCTTAATACTAATAGTTTAAATTGATTATAATATACCCTCTTTAAGAACCACTGACTTTGGGGATTAACATAAGGTCATTATACTATTTTTATATATTAAACTATATTAAAGTATTCACATCTACTTCCTTCAATAAATATACTTAATAATGATATTGAGTTCTTGTGTCTTCTTTTTTTTTATATGTATGTATTTACTTATTTTATCTTTTGAGACAGGGTTTCACTATGGACTTCAGGCTGGCCTTGAACTCACTTTGTAGTCCACGCTGGCCTCAAACTCCACAGCAATCCTCCTGCCTCAGTCTCCTGGGTGCTGGGATTATAGGTATGAGCTACTTTTTTGGTTTTAAAGAGTAGGTCTCAGCATGTAGCCAAGGCTGGCCTCAAATTTGTGGTGATTCTCCTGCCTTAGGGATTATAAGCTAGGCTTGTGTCTGCTTTTTATACCTACTCTATTTCATTCTTGACAGTTGTATGTTGTTATTCTTGCTTTGCATATTTAAAATATTGTAATGTTTCATTTAGATATACATCAAATGCTACAGTCATAAGCCAGCAAGAAGTAGGGCAAGTAAAGTAGGCTAATCTAAACTAGAAAATGAAGTAGAGAATATTAAAGCGCTCCTGCCCCATGCTGGCGATTGAACCTAGGGCTTGCACATGCTAAGCAAGTGCTCTCTCACTGAGCTATATCCCCAGCCTTTTTTATTTTGAGACAAGCTCTGGCCTAGAACATATGATCCTCTTATACTAACTTTCCTACAACAAAATTCTCTATCTTTAGTTTGTACATTCCTTGCCTCCACCTTGATCTATTTGTTCTAAATGATTTCAGAAGAAACTGTTTAAAGTTCCATCATCATCTCTAACATTTCATGTAACACTTAAACCTTAATTACTGTATGTACATTAAAGAGAGGAAATACAATCTTAAAATCAATATTGGTTTGAGATATGATTAATCAGATAAATAGAAATATATGTAGGCTGATAACCCCTTCACGACAGTCTTGGCCCTCTCTTGAGTCTAAAATATAAAATAATGAAGACTTTAAAACAAGCAACAGATAGCAACCACCAAGAACTACTGTATGAACTACTATATCTGAAAAATCTATCTTCAAATTCTTAAGACTCTGGCCAGCTATATGGGAGAATTTTTTTACTGTAAAGGTAAAAACTAAAATTACCTGAGGAACCTAAGAAATTCCATCAATGGAGATGTTTCAAAGCATCAGGGATAGCCATCTACTCTGAATTAGCTTTATTTTCACTCACTGCTCTAATTTATCCCACAAGCGAAGTTTTGCTAGTGATCTATTCTGACATTAAGACTTCTTTCTTTAAATAAGGTGTCGTCTCCTTTCTGCCCCCACTCCACTGTGCGTGTGTGTGTGCGCGCAACGCGCGTGCACACGCACTCGGATCAAACCCATGGCCGGTCACTCTAAACAGGTGCTCTACCTCGAGTACAACCTAATGACTTTTTTATTTTTTTAAACTTAAGAACATAAATTTCAGATCCCTGAACTTTGTTTTTTAGTAGTCTAGGTCAACATGAATTTGGCAAAAATAACTGGAAGCTCATGGAAGATCTTCAGCTGTAATTTTCGGTTAACAAATTAAAAACAAGTATTAGGGCTAGTGGTTTCCGCTCGATGATACAGCACTTGCCCAGTATGTGCAAGGCCCCCTAGGTTCAGATCCTAGCACAGTAAAAATAAAATCAACCCACCCAAAACACCCCCCAAACCCACAAGTATATGAACCAGATAGTTGACAGACAATAGAGTAAAAATCTTATTCCTACATGAAGTAAAACAACAGAAAATTGTCTTGAAGCTACTTCTTAGAAAGACTTCATGATTTTTTCCTGGACAAAACTAGAAGACACTTACACTTGGTGAGACAGAGAAAAAGTTCCAAATCTGGAGTTAAAATGCCTGAGTCTCAGCAGTGGCTTGATCATATTTTAAAAGTTGTATTATGTCAGTAGACGACCCACCTCAAGTCTCTGGGGCTTTCTATTAAATGGAAGGGTTTGACTAGAATAGCACTTAAGTGTTCTTTGGCAACTCTTAAAAATATATACTTTAGGGCTGGGGGTACAGCTCAGTGGCATAAGCGCCTGCGTGGCAAGTGCAAGGTCCTGAGTTTGATTCCCAGTACCACAAAAAAAAGTACTTTATTTTTTTAAGCCAATATACATATACTTACCCTTCTTTGAAATAAAAGATCTATGTATACCTGTGTAATATATTAATATTTTTGGTATTGTTCTAGTTCATAAAAATTACTGGTTGATAGGACAGCTAAAATTAAAAACAGTGGTGGCAAGCACATGAGAGAAACTGGAACCTTCACACATGGCTCATGTAAATGTCAGGCAGTAGAGCCACCACGGAAAAGACTACAGCAGCTCTTTAATAAATAAAACACAGAATTATGGAAGATCCAGCAATTTTACTCCTAGTATAGAACAAAAAGAACTGAAACCAGGTATTTAAACAGAAGCCTATACACAAGAAAATTGTCTTGAAGCTACTTCTTAGAAAGACTTCATGATTTTTTCCTGGACAAAACTAAAAGACACTTGGTGAGAGAGAAAAAAGTTCCAAATCTGGAGTTACAATGCCCGAGTCTCAGCAGTGGCATATAAATT